ATCACCAAAGAGAAACAAACCGTACTTAATTAACATTATATTTATAAATCTGATGAAAATTACACGATCGCTTGGAGTGACTATATGTATGAATATGAATTTTTTTTCCAATATCAGTTTTTTCTTGTCCTTTTTCTTCATGTATTCCGTGTTTTTTTATTATTTTTTACGATAATCACTAATCCTTTCCTAGAAACAGTTATAGTATGAATTTTTCTTGAATAAAAAAAAGGAAAAATAAATTGTTGAATTTTGCACTTTTTTCTTTGGTGGCATTTAGTGTGTGCAATATCTTACAATGCACTTCGGCTATTGTAATTCGAAAAGTAACAAGGAAAAAGGAATAGAGAAGAATAGGAATAGAGAGTTAAAAGGATTTCTGTCTGTGGATTTCTGTCTGAAACAGTGTTTAGATGTGCTGTGGTGAAGAGAGGTCAAATAATTTTTTAAAACCCATAATATAACGAAATATAAAAGCAGAAATATCAATCACTCGACCAAACTTACGTCATGGTGAACTTTGACATTACTGGTCTAGTAACTAGTGTCTACTCTATATCCACGCCCTCTAGTCAGTAGTTTGTCTAAAAAAAAACTTCATTATAGATTATTGTTTCTTTATCGCAGATGAACATAATTTGCTTCCTTTTTATTTGATTTTTATAAATTGAAATAATTAAAATTGATTAATGGCATTCCATCTTACCTCTGTGCCAGAAAAGTCTGAAATTCGCAAATATTACTAACGCTAAACACATTTTTTCCAAATTCTTTTAAGATTTACATTTTGCAAATTTTAAAATTTAAAAAAAACTAATATATTCTAAAAAATTAATTTTTTATATTATTCTGGAATTCAAATGCTTGAAATAAAAAAAAACACAATTTAAGTACCTACAAAAAAAGTAAAATAAATAAATAGAGGACATTAAGTAACCTAAGCTGCCCAAAACATTAAATTTCATATAAAGCACAATAAATTGGAAAATTTTAATAATGGCTGAGATAGAGTCTTCTTATCGCTTACTAGCATTTATTAGACTTCTATTAAAACGTTTTCATGGTTTTCATTTGTGAGTAATGCAGATTCTAATTATTTTCATTTAAAAAGTTTTTCAAAATAAGATTTCACTCCTGCATTTATATTACAAGTTATCTGGGCTGTGTACAAAAATACAAAAAAGTGCGAGAATAAGAACGGCGAACATTCACCAAGATGATAGGCTATATATCAAGGGTTATAAGAAAATGATTGATTGTAAAAAATAATTTCATTGCTATAATAAATATTTGGATGGAATCCTATTACCGTTAAGAAACCTGAAAAACATTTTCGTGGTTTTCCTTTGCTTGTATCCCAAAGTTTGATTTGTTTTAATTTAATTTTATATTAAATAAATTGTTAAAACAGCTTCTATAAATATGATTTTACACTGATTCTTAAATTGCAAGTTGCTTTAATTTCCGTGTTAAATTAAAAATAAGAAGAGCGTTTCGTTCTATTTACAAAGATGATAGGCCATCTATCAAGGATGATAAAAAAAATATTGATTACTAAAAAATAACTTCCTTGGGATATTTAGCATTTAGCTGGAATTCTAATACCGGTAAAAGCAATCTGAAAATAATCTACGTGGTTTTTTCTTTTGCGTGCAACTCAAAATCTGATAATTTTAATTTCATTTTAATCTTGATTCAAATAAATTATTTTAATAACTTTCATAAATATAGTTTTACTCCGATACTTAAATTGCGAGCTACTTTGATTTCTGGGTTAAGTTAGAAATTACAAATATAAGAAGATCATTTCGTTACATTGACAAAGACGATTGAGTGTCAAGGATGCTAAAAGAATGATTCATAATTAAAAAAAAAAAAAACACTCATTACGATTACTGAGCATTTGGCTGGAATTCTTTAAATGTCAAGTAATCTGAAAGGTATTCTTGTGGTTTCCCTTTACTTGTAGCGTAAAATATAATTGTTTTCTTTAAAAAAAACATTACGTATTTTCTAAGCTGTTTTGAATAAACTTTCTGCCAAAATCGGAACAATAAAATTTTGGCTATCCTGTCAGAGGAAAGTAGATGTTCTGCAAAATATTTCTTTCTTCCGTAATCTCGATTCTTAGATTGGTTTGAAGGTAGATTTATGGTTCATATCAATTAAACTAACTACAAGATTCAGAAATTTCTGAATAAAAAAAAAAAATTAAAAATCAAGTTTTGAAAATTTAATACCCATTTTTCAATTAATTATTTTCTTTTACTTTTTACATTCTACTTCGTTAATAAGAAAAATTGAGTATAAGGCAATTGCTTAAGAACCATTACCTCAAAAACTTGACTCGAAAATAAAGATTATATTAGGTAATCAAATTGAAATATCAAACAAATTACTAGCGTTCAACGCTAATTACTAACGTTCTTTTTTTTCTAAAGTGTTTTTTTTACTTTCACAAGTATTTTAACAATTGTAAAAGAAATGTTCATTAAAATTTGTTAAATTTAAATCAGTTGTCAAATAAAAAAAACCTTCTTGTTCCTATGAATAATAAATACATTATGTGGTTAGAGTGAAGTATAGTTTAGTCTCTTTAGGCTCGTGTGTAGACATGAAAATCCAATAAGGTAACAGTTTAACTTTAGTTCAAGTTAAAAGAAAAACTTTCAAATTTATACTTACTTGCATTTATATATTATATACCATTTTAACAAATCAACTTGCCTCTAATAAGCAGCTGTTGATTCAAAATGAAGAAAAAACAAAGGAAAATTACAGACATATGAAAAAAGGGGGGAAAAGAAAAATAAGAATAAAAATAAAAATAGCAGAAAACTGGGAAAAAATAATAATAATGAAAATCCGAAAGAAAAGAATAAAATTTTTATTAAAAAATCCGGAAAATAAATATAATCTCTTCATCAGCCCACACGATTATATTAGCAAAAAGAGTGGATTAGAAACTATTAGAAAGCACTCTTTTTGCGGATATAATCGCGTGGGCTAATGAAGAAATGAAGAAATATCTCTTAAGCTAATGAAGAAATATCTCTTATTTTCCGGAATTTTTAATAAAAATTTTATCTTTTTTTTTCTTCTTTTTTTTCGAATTTTTATTATTATTATTTTTTCCAGTTTTTTGTTATTTTTATTTTTATTCTTAAATTTCTTCGTGTCTTTTTGTATTTATTTATTTTGCTTTATATATATATATATATATATATACAGGGTGTCCCAAAAGGTCGTTTACAAACTTAACATGCTNTTGGGAAGCGCTCAAGGTACGTCCGTGCTGCGGCTCGTCCATTTCCATCAGCGGCGCCGTATACGTAATGCATGTCGGCCATTTATGCGTTACTAAACTCATTCATCCTTTGCCTTCAACGCCCACGTCTGAAATTACTGTTTTTCCCACTCTCCCGTTTTCGTGCAATTATCGCCCTCTAGCGGTCTCAGTTTTAATTTTCGGACACAAGTTCCTATGTAAATCTTGTTCATCATGATATGACAGACCAGCATGTTAAGTTTGTAAACGACCTTTTGGGACACCCTGTATATACTGTAAATGAGGCGCGCGTCGTCTTTTACGTTAGGAATTTTAAAAGGGAAAGATCACAAACACATAATAACGGATAATATGACAATTATTTGATAGATTAGAATATTTTGCAAGAAATTTCTCATGGGAATTCATATTCTCTTAAGGGAAAAACTTATTATGGTAATTATGATATTTTTTAATTTAAAATTAGAACTGTAATAAAGAACGCGAATTTAATAACTGTGAGAACTGGTTTTGTGTAATGAATAATGAATTTAAAAAAAGAGAATTCAGATAAATAAATAACATGAAAAGATTTGTTAAATCATTTTATGATACACCTCCCCTCACAAAATGTGTGTTACCATGTAATAAATTTTTCTAAAAAATTGTAATTTACTTGTAACACTTTTCTTACGTGACAAGTACAATTAACATGAAAATACTTAATCTCAACATACAAGCTATATTCAAAAGTAATATGTAATACATGTAAAAAACTAACTTTTGCAAAAATGATAAAAATTTAACACATTTAAAATGCTGTAGAAAATCTATTTTTACAGTTAACAAATCGAAACATTTGATTTTCATTCTAAACCGATTTTCATTCTAAACCGACAAGTTTAATGACTTCTTGTTTAACAGTCAAGTCATTTGCTTGATGAAAGTTTTTCACTAAGAAATCTTAATACTTCATTATAACAAAATTCAAATTAGTTTTTCAATCAAAATAAAAAAAATTTATATACACTTCCAAAATGTAAAAACTATCTTGTATACTTTTGTTAAAATTCGTATCATTATTTTTAATTTTACTATATATATAAACTAAATTGTTCCAGCCTTTTTTTATCTTACTTTTGTTTGCATTATCTTACTTTATTATTTATGAAAGAATACAAAACGCCTTTCACAGACGCTGATTTATAAAGGTTTAATAATATCAAACTATATTCTTTTATTGCCATTACATTTTACTCTCATCTCAGAAAAAACAATAAAAACTATTTGTCTATTTCATATTTCGCAATAGTAAAGCTAAATAAATTTCATCTTAAAAAGTTATAACACAAAACTAAAATCAAAACATTGCAACAAAAAGAGTATCTTTTATTAAACTCAATACGGATAAATATTTTTGCTCGTTTAAAATTTCTTCCCGACATAAAGTTATTTGAGAAACAAAGTCAAAACTTTCCTCCGATGCCAAATTATGTCTACTATTTGTACCCAGCATGTGATACATTTAAATTTTTGAGTAAGTAAATATGGCATTCTATAATTGCACGCTATTGTTTGCTCGAGAAATAAAATGGGAGAGATACACAGCTATTGTCAACGTTATGTTATTAAGAAAAGTTTGCTGAGAATGGTTCTGGAAATATCTATATATAAACGGAGAAAACAGGTAGTAATGTTTCTTTTTTATGAAATCTCTTCTTTTTCTTCACAGATGGAAAATGCTTATCTTCCGGATGTTGCTCTTTTGTCATCTCCCCCCACATCTTCACTTCGATCAGTCGGATGCTTTATGGGATTTCATTTCGTAGAAAATTGGAGGACCCAAGATGAGACTCTCCAAAACACAAACTTAATGACTCCGACACTTTTCTTCGTCATTTCCTCCTTCATCTGAAATAAAATGAGGCCGATAAATGACGATTTCTATCGGCCCCAAAAATAACGGAGAGAGGCTGAAGAGAAAAGAAAACAAATAATGTTCAGTTATTGAATAGCGCTTCTAATAAGACACTTTTTCTGATCACTCAAATAAACTTTTTTTCTCTTCTTCAAAATACGATATTTGTCAGCATTTATTTATTTTTTATAGAGATATATAAAAGAGAAACGTGTTATACAGAAAATGAGAAGTATTTAGTGATTTCTATGCAGCTATTCATCCTTTTAGCCATTATGTTTAAATTTTAATGCAATCACGCGAAAGGGTTTATATTTTACAATTCTCGTAGTATATTTACAGACATTTACTTTTCCTGGATGTTACGAGAGATCTTCGGTGCAATACAGCTACCTACTTTTCACAACATATGCCCCTTCAATGGTTAAACTGAACAAGTGATTGATGGGTCATGACCATTTCAAATCAACATGCGTAATTATTGATCTAAAATAATTCTTCAGATCACTCTGTTTTAAAGCTGAAACTTTTGATAAAGTACTTTTAAATAAGAGATTTCGCTTGTAGTATGTTAGATACAAAGAGTAAAAAAAAAAGTTATTGTCACACTAAACATGTGCTTATCATGGCCAATGGGGGAAATAAAGAAATAAAAGATTGTGTAAGTTCAAGGTATTCCGCGCAGGGATTGCTAATCTGGTCTGCCCTCAAACTTTTTTAGGGTCTAGCCCAGTCTCCTAAAGCCCTGTAGTCGTTGAGATTAAGATCCGGTGAATAGAGAGACCATTCCCCAGATGTGATGGAATTCATAAAATGTTCCTTCTACCATTTTTGCCTTTTCTTTAAGCCTAAAACTTTTTACCACTTATAGTTTGCTATTGAAGAATAATTAAAAATATTAGTTTAAGATCAGGATATAAAGGAAATCGATCATTCTAGAGCTAAATAATGTTTCAGTTATTGATAACTATTTGACCAATTTTGTACAAATATTGTTTTTTACTACTTAAAATTAAATTATTTAAAAGGATGCAAATATCTTGGAACCTTGGAATTAAAAATTTATAGTATGTCTTTAATAAATTAAACAATATTTTAAAAAAAGATATTTTTTGCTGCGAATTGCCTTAAGATGTATGAAAAAGTGAACATTTTTTGATTCTCGTAAATAGTAAAAATTAATTTTAAGAAAATTCTGAACACAATCCTATGAGGACTCAATTTAATCTTCACCTGTTAGTTTAGCATATTCATGATAAGTCTCTTAGTTTGCCTGATACTACCACAATCCTGTGAGGACTCAATTTAATCTTTACCTTTTAGTTAGTTTACATATTCATGATAAGTCTCTTAGTTTGCTTGATACTACCACAATCCTGTGAGGACTCAATTTAAGCTCCACTTATTAGTTAGCATAAAAGACTAAAAAAAGAATGCTTTTGGACACCCAAAAAATAGAATCATTTTTTAATAAACTGAAAAAACTTATACCCAAAATTTGTAATAAAGCAAAATCTGGGCACCCAAAAAACTTATGCCAATTAGATTGATTATTATAAGCAATAAGAGTACAAAATTTCTTAAAATCTAGGCTTAAATATTCATAAAGATATGGACATTTTTATAAAAACTAATTTTTTTACTTACTTTTCTATCTATAACTGCTGAAATATTAAATAAAGCTATACAAAATTTTTAGAATAAATTTTTAATTATTAATAAAAATATCATTTAAAAATTTGAAAAAAAAAATCGTTAAATTATACAAGATATGAGTTAAAATAATCCTTTTATACTGCGCCTCCGTTAAAAATATTTTTAAAAAAATTTCATAAATTTGCCTTTAATCGTATTTGGTGACTTCTAGAAAAAAGTCCGATTCGAATATCATGAAAATTTACAAAGTCTCTTGCAATTTTCTAAGTAGTCTCTGTTAATTAGGAGCTTTGAATGGTAAGAGGTTTTCCACAAATTTAATTTTGTACTATTAAACAAGATTTATTATGACATTGGCATTACATAGAATCGCCTGCTATTAAATTATATTTTATTTCTTATCACATCTTGTTGTCCAAACCATCATTTTAGGATATTATCATTTGTTATTAAATTTTGTTTAACATTAGAAAATGGTATTTGTGGAAAGCCCTTTATTAATTAGAGCTTTCAATAAAAAAGTATAAAAACTACTTAGAAATTTGCTAAAAACTTTTTACATTCTCAAAATATTCGAATTGGACTATTTTCATAAGTTACCAAATGAGATTCTGAACAAAAATTTTTTTTATGTTTTCCGTGAATGCGCAGTACGAATGAAGTACTTAAAATACTCATATCTTGCGCAATTTTTAATTTTTCTTTTTCAAATTTTGAAGAGATACTCTTATTATTAATAAAAAATTAATCTGAAAATTTTGTTTAATTTAATTAAATATATGTTATATTAAGCCCATTTTAAAATCATAAAAAATTATGGCGTGATAATTTTTTCGTTTCAGGTCCAGGTCATTTGCCCTGGTCCAGTTTTTCTTCTGTCTAAAACTTAATCAACGCTAAGCAACATAAAATTAAGTCAATTAAAAATCATCAGCTGTGATGAAATAGTTTGTATTTTCAAATTAAACCTTTAATTCTCTTTCTTGCCTGCGCAGATTTTAAAAATTTCAGAGTGATCCATGTATAAATTTTATTTTTATAATTTTATTATTATTTATTATAATAATAAATTAAATTGTGGAACTAGATAGTTCAAATCATTCCTCAAAATTAATACTTAATTTAAATTCTCTGGTTATTTTCATAGCAACAAATGCTTCTGAACTAAAATTTTTGAAATACCTTAAAACTTATAAATAAAATCACGAATGAAGTTTTTATACATTCACCACAACGATATCATTTTAGCAAAATATCGAGCCACTTTAAGTCGAACAGCACGCATAAAATGATTAACACCATATTCATTTCAAGCTAAGCAAAAAATGATTGAAGGAATGAAAAAATACATGGCAATAAATTTTTGTCCTGAAAAGGCTATTCTTTATGGGTGAACAACGGTAACCAAAATTTTGTTAATCTCCAAAGATTACCATAGCAACCAATCCAATTCAGTCTTTAATAACCATTTGTGAAGTCACGAAACCTCTCTATTACACACACGAATCGTATTCGATAGCTGGCAACTTCGATTAAGGAAATCCCCCACCTCATATTTTTACGCACACATCACTAACTATTCTAAATACTCTCAATTGACTTTTAATCGTTTCATTACTCACTTTATGTCGATGTTTTCATGCAATCTATTTATGCCAAAGTCTCAGTTATTTTGAATATTAATGCCGTGAAATTAATTGTGTTGATTTGAAGAAGACTTTTTAATGAAAAAAGTATTTTTATAATGCTGTTTACTAAAACCTTTTCTAAATGGGACATTAATTTGATTTTATTTAAAAAATGAAAAAATAACATTGAGAATATGTAAAAATAATTACACACGAATAAATATTTGTTATTCTATTAACAAAATTTTCATATAGCTATTATTATTTTCAACTTTTTTTTTATCCGATTGCAATGAAAATCAGCATGTCTAAAGTTACATGAATTTCTTGTCGGTGATTTTGTAAATCTGAACAAATGCGTGTTTACGAAATTGAAGAGAGCTCTAACTGCTTGTTTGCGAAAATGGACAAAGCTCAAAATGCGAGTATATGATAAAAAATAAATTTAGCTCAAAATGCGCATTTAAGACATTTCTTTATTTCTAATGGCAAAATTAAAATACAACAAAAAAAAACATATAGAGAAAAAACATAGAAAACAAAAAAGAAGTAGCGATAATTTATAAATACAAAAGACTCCTGGCCTCGCGGTTTACAAGAGAACGGTAAAGGATGAGATGGTCAACATCAAAATTACAGAAACCGCAGATAGAACTTGAAATTCTGCAGAAACTGTGCAAATGGTCCGGGAGACTGTCATGGCCAGTGGCGAACCCAAATTCAGCAGCCATTTTATGTCTAGGCTATTTTCAGACTAGAGATAATATGTCTTTCCAAGATATTTAAATTGTTCTAAGAGCGAGGTTTTATTTGAACATAATATTTTTTGATTAATTGTTCCAAAAGATATACTGGAAGGATGTAGTTAAGTCGATTTTTGGCAAGACGTTTAAAAAAAATGAACGTAGCATTTGATTCCATTTCTCAAACCAGAGTTGGACTTAATTAAAATAATCGATTACAACTGTAATGGATTACAGATTATTACTTCCATGCAATCGATTACGTAGAATTGCGATTGCAGATAACTATGATTACAAGAAATCATGAACTCTGTCCATATATGATCATAACATCAAGAAAATATTACAAGTAATCATGATTATAAGTAATCATAAACATGTAATTATGGTTACAAGTAAATGAAATTATTACAGGTAAGCATGATTACATGCAATCGTGATTGCAAGTAATCAAAGAATACGATTACCGGAATGATGCGATTGCGTGGAATAACAATTACATGGAAAAATACAATTCCAATCATCGGATCTATATATGATAAGAAATACACTGAAAGTATGTGCATAAAGTGTATGTATATACAATGCGCAATGCGAATGTGTATACAATGTACAAAATAAACTACTATGAATAGCTTTTGCTTTAATGATTGCATCTTCACGTTCTAGGACTCAATTTTAATGGTTGTAGGGGATGACTTCAAACATGCTAATTAATTGGTGCCGACGCTATTTTAAGTTCTGAAATCATACACAAAAATGTACAGAATAAACATACCTTTTATTTCGACGTATTTAAATTTCTGACACTCAAAATATAGAGGGCAGCCGCAATCTGGGAAATATGATCCCAAAAGTTTGGTCAGTCGAACGGTCCAAAGTTTGGACCCCTTAATGTTAATTTTACTTTTTGCATATTTCACCTTATCCTCAAGAACTTTTTAAACCAATTATAAGATTATTGCGCACAGTTATTAAATTAAATATAGAAAGATAATTCCATGCAAAGAATAACTTTTAGTAAATATTTATTATTCACTAAAAATAAACAATAAATACTACTACTATTTCTTATTATTTATTTAATAATAGTCGGAAAATTTTTGAATTGTAAAGTATACACT